TTGGCTGCTTCCCTGTAAGTGGTAGCGCCGCCCAACGTAGGTATTGCACAAACTTGAAACGCACGGGTAATCCCACAACAACTATCTAACATTCTCTCTCTCAATTCTAGAGAGAGAGCAATTCCTTCAGGGAGTTTAAATATATATTTTCATTATCCCGCTTCCGTGTCCGTTTTCTGTTATTTCTGATTTTGGCGCACTGTAGAAAACGATATTTCAGGAGATACTTGTGATTTCTGTTGCGATACTTTAACTATATGGCCGTCTGCCTTACTTCTAGCCTGAAACTAACTGACTTCAACAGCTTCATGTTTATGGGTTCATCAGCTGAAAATAAAGTCCTTCCAGAGAAGACCAAATACAGCAGTACCAAGACGTGGCCGTAGTGGTATGACGATCTCCATGACTAACAGTATATATTGTTGTAGCATTCCTTGTCTTCTACGGACTGGGGAATGAGCTGAGGGCCGTCTTCCAAACCACTCAAACAAAAAAATCGATTAATCGGAGACAGGAAGCCTGTGTGTGTATATTATACTTTAGTCTTGTTCCGAGGTCCCCCCCACCCCAAGGATGCAAACCCACAACAGTTGCCTAACTCCCGGGTACTTACTTCTTGCTAGGTGAACATATGCATCAGGTGAAAGGAAACGTGCCCAAACATTTCTGTTCCGAGATTCAAACCCGGGATCCCCGACTGTTTATAATTATAACCTTTCACTATATTATTTATCTGTGTCCTCTAATGACTCTATCTACCTCTACTGAAGTGGCAGTAGAGTAGAGTAGAGGGATTTATTTTATTTATTTATTAATAAGAATATTTTCTTTGTTTTCTTTTATTATGCACCCCATACCCATCTTGTGAGTGGTGGTGGGAAGAGGTTACAGAGGCATACACATAGAATGGTTCAAGAGCTGAAGGTTATCTTGAGGTTATCTTGAGATGATTTCGGGGCTTAATGTCCCCGCGGCCCGGTCCTCGACCTGGTCTCCTTTTTGTTACACACCCCCAGGAAGCAGCCCGTAGCAGCTGCCTAACTCCCAGGTACCAATTTACAGCTAGATAACAGAGGACATTAGGGTGAAAGAAACATATATATATATATATATATATATATATATATATATATATATATATATATATATATATATATATATATATATATATATATATATATATATATATATATATATATATATATATATATATATATATATATATATATATATATATATATACATATATATATATATATATATATATATATATATATATATATATATATATATATATATATATATATATATATATATATATATATATATATATATATGTCGTACCTAGTAGCCAGAACTCACTTCTCAGCCTACTATGCAAGGCCCGATTTGCCTAATAAGCCAAGTTTTACTGAATTAATATATTTTCTCTAATTTTTTTCTTATGAAATGATAAAGCTACCCATTTCATTATGTATGAGGTCAATTTTTTTTATTGGAGTTAAAGTTAACGTAGATATATGACCGAACCTAACCAACCCTACCTAACCTAACCTAACCTATCTTTATAGGTTAGGTTAGGTTAGGTAGCCAAAAACGTTAGGTTAGGTTAGGTTAGGTTAGGTAGGTTAGGTTGTCGAAAAAACATTAATTCATGAAAACTAGGCTTATTAGGCAAATCGGGCCTTGCATAGTAGGCTGAGAAGTGAGTTCTGGCTACTAGGTACGACATATATATATATATATATATATATATAAATTATTCGCACACCCTCCGTCACTATGTGATGGAGTGCGAAAAGATACGTGAATTTAGAGACAATTCTATAACCAATGTTCCAGCGATGTGTCAATATTTAATTTCAAAATGATCTGCTACCAGAAATTTTAGCCAAATATCCCCAGTTTGCTAACTGTAGGTAGTAACTAAGTGATTGTAACCTATCCACCGCTGCCCACTGGATGGGGGGCGGTGTGCAGGACAAACATATAAATTGTGACACTAGCTCTCCACATATGTCAGTTGCTTAATTTAGAACCTGTACTTGAGGTCGATCTCGAACCCATTGTTGATGTAACGACTTATATTAAATTTTGTAACTAGCTCATCAAGATTGTAACTTGCTTAGCTAAATGAATTGTGGGGTTCAGTCCCTAAGCCCATTATGTGCCTCTGTAACCCTTTCCATTACCGCCTACGGGATGGGTATGGGGTGCATAATAAATGAACTAAACTAACTAACTGTTTAGAATGATTTAATAATGATGGAGGTCGTTATATATGAGTTGTACATTCTCACACAGGCTCTAACACGTCAAACGTTTTATAATATCAGTTAAAACAATAAAGTACATAGAATTTTGTATTTTGAATTAAGTATATAAATTCATTTAAAATTAAACCTAGTGATGTATTAGAAAAGCTGTTTGAAGCAGTTCCGTTGGAAAATACAAGTTCTCCCTAAGAACCATTTTCTCTACTTAAATAGAAAACGTCAAGAAAATTACACAGTAACTAAATTAAATAAATTGCCCTGCACGTATATTAACATATGTGACCTATAATTATGAATTATATACTTTTATCTGATGGCCACCAAGTGGCCAGAGCGGGAGTAGAAAGCCAGAAGCTAGAGGAAAGTTCAGTTCATTATTGCTGAGGATTTTCTCATCAAAAATCAGTGCACATGATTGTCTTCACTGTTGTAGACAGCGCCTGAGTGATAGGCTTAGCTAGGTGCCCCCCCCCCCAGCAAGCAGCACTGATTTAAGCACGGTCACCAGACCATTTGTTGACCAAACCAGACAGTGCTTAACTGACCGGATTTGAACTGTATTATTGCAAACTGAAGAGGCAACAGAAGAGTCCTGTAGGCCTATAATTAATAGGCAGATTCCAGTTATATCTACCGCCCTCCTCTCATCTACCTATCCAATCTATCCTTGATATCCCCTTCCAATCCTCCGTCAGCCTTATCCCACACTAGTACTTCCTGTAGCGCAATGGTCTACGCTATAAGCTCACAACCGTGGGACCACGAATCAATCTACCGGCCGGAACATAGATAAGTGGAAACTCTCCCTTTAACCTGATGCACTTGTTCACCTATCAGTAATTAGGTATCTTAGAGTGAGGCAACTATTGTGGGTTGCATCCTGGGGATCGTCATGAGTAGACCTAGTGGTGGGGGGGGGACTCGAAAAGTCAAAGTTCAGGCTTCTTGTCCATAATTTAGTTTTAGTTCATTTACTGTGTACCTCATACCCATCCTGTGAGCGGTAGTGGAAAGGGTTACAGAGGCACATAATGGGCTCAGGGACTCAACCTCAAAAATCATTTAGCTAAGTGAGTCTTGATGTTGACCAGACCACACACTAGAAGGTGAAGGGACGACGACGTTTCGGTCCGTCCTGGACCATTCTCAAGTCAATTGTGATCTTATTAGAGTCTTGATGAGCTAGTTACAAAATTCAATGCACATCGTCACATCAACAATGGGCTCGAGACAATGGGCTATTTATATAAGCCTTCAAAGTTAGGTTTGGTGTTATACCTTCTCCCTGGTGTGTTTTTTCTTTAGTCGATATAGCGGAGGGAGTTTCCGTTTGTCGTGTACCATCCTTTGGGTCTACTGACGCCTGTTCCCATTTATATCACTTTACACTTGCTGGTGTTGAACCACAAGCAGCCATTCCTCGGACCAACTCTGCAGGTTAAGTCATACTGAAGAAAATTGCAATCCTCATCTCTTGCAAGTCTTCTCATTAGCTTTGCATCGTCTGCAAACATTGTATGTGTGAGTGTGAGTGTGTGTGTGTGTGTGTGTGTGTGTGTGGTGTGTGTGTGTGTGTGTGTGTGTGTGTGTGTGTGTGTGTGTGTGTGTGTGTGTGTGTGTGTGTGCAGCATGTGTGTGTGCGTGTGTGTGTGTGTGCGTGTGTGTGTGTGTGTGTGTGTGTGTGTGTGTGTGTGTGTGTGTGTGTGTGTGTGTGTGTGTGTGTGTGTGTGTGTGTGTGTGTGTGTGTGTGCAGCATGTGTGTGTGTGTGTGTGTGTCTGTGTGCGATGCATTTGTGCACTCAAGGAAATTACCAAACAAAAACTGATTATATCTATTTATTAAAATATAACTTAGGTCTTCACATCGCTTACAAGGTTACAAAGAACATAATATCAGTTGGAAAATTGAAGTCTTATCAACAATAACAAAAGTAATGGCCGCGTCCACAGCGCTTCAAAAATTTAGCTTCTCCTTTTAGACTTGAGGTAATCAACTCTCTACCATTATCATTATTATCAGTAATCGCATTTTTTTTAACCCGATTAAAATCAAGGAAAAATAAAGCCGTCTCTCTTGGTTTGAAAGGCTAACAACATCTAATGTCTAATCACTGTTAGAGTCTAGAAGCCGTCTAATTCTGCCGACACTAGCGAACGCATGCCATCCGGTAAAGCTCCATAGATCACAGAAGACACGGGGCTACCAACACCAGTTGGTAAGATCGAATATCCTCTAATTATCAGCATAGAAATTCGACCATACAGAAGTGTTGCTGTATACCTGTGTTGACTGCTTAACCCTCTGGAACAGGAGAGAGTCCTCTGAAGGGAAGAGAGAGAGTGAGAGAGAGAGAGAAAAGGCTTTTGTCTATTTATTTATTTTTTTTTTTGCAGGTGTTTTATTTGTATTTTTATGTAAGGTAAACCTAAGGGAATCCATATGTACACATGGTAACAACGTAACATCTAGTCACATATTATTTATAATCCGTTTGAGCTGCTCCAAAGACAGAAGGGTTGCAGCATCCTCGATGCTTCTCGTTTAAGCTCTATATATTTAAGATGCCTTGTCAATAATGCCACAAGTTGTTTCTTAGAGTTTAATGCCCATTAGACAGTCTCAAGGACGCTAGGAAAAGTATATATATATATATATATATATATATATATATATATATATATATATATATATATATATATATATATATATATATATATATATATATTTAACCAGAAGCAAAGACCGTTTCCATCAGAACTGTGTAGGTGTGCATCCGGCTGTGGACTATCAGACCACTTGATGCATTAAATACTATTTTTTTCGAACCATTCTCCCAACTCTAGCAAACTATAATGGCAATTTATTTTGTGTTAACTGAATGTCGACCATATCCGCCCACACGTTACTTTTGAGATAGAATATTTCACATGGTAGTTTATCAAATTAAACATAGTATTATGGTCAACTTTAACATAGCAGTTCGATCAAAATTTAACACAGCATCTGCGTCAAATTTAACACAACACCTGGATCAGATTTTTTTTTTCCGCAAAGCTATGTAATTGTCCATAGACATGTTCATAAAACAGGGCACATTTATGAGCCATATTTCATTTGCTGTGACCAACGGTTAATACGTGGGACGACTGCAGAGCTCTGTCAGTACACGGGAGAAAGGGAGAGAGAGAGAGAGAGAGAGAGAGAGAGAGAGAGAGAGAGAGAGAGAGAGAGAGAGAGAGAGAGAGAGAGAGAGAGAGAGAGAGAGAGAGAGAGAGAGAGAGAGAGAGAGAGAGAGAGGAGATGAAGACTGTCTTCTCAAACTGTCCTTGACCTAATCACTCGACCTACAGCTCTGTGTCTAGACGCTTATCCTTGGCTTAATCCTAATGCATTACGGTGTAGACGAGACAATATAGACAAGGTGTCAGTCTATCTATTATATGTTTTGGAGCTGCTGGGTGCCACGCTACAGTCAAGTACAGCTTGTGAACCCGTGTCTCCGTGTCCAGTACACCCTTACGGGTGGGTATGGCACCCATGCCTGAAGTCCGAAGTCACAGCTGACTGGTCACTGAAAGATCATGAGGGAAAAGTTTGGGGTGTTTGGCTGAAGCCTGAAACGAGTTTCGCTTTCTAGCGAAAACTTAGAGTTCTTCGAGCTGCCTTTCACCAATAATTTAACAAATATGGAAAACAGATACTGGAACAGACTGCAGCGATGGGGAAACAGCATCCATGGAGTATTCATCACAAATACCAAAACACTAGGAATGTACAAAACAAAAATAATATCCATGTCCCTTTTAATAATCATCTGAGAGTTGATGCCGTTTGACCACACCACGACGTCCAACCAAGTACCCTGAGCCTTGTTTTTTTTCCTCCAGTTAACAAAATAATCTATATCGGTAGTGTTGTCGGCTTGGAAGGGAAGGAGAAGGGAAATGTTCACCACGTTCTATGAAATATTTACTGTGGAGAGACCTTCGCACTCCTCTATATAACAGTATTGAAGCATTCAGTGGAAGTACTCTCTCAAGGTACACTTGAAGGTCTGTGTGTGTGTGTGTGTGTGTGTGTGTGTGTGTGTGTGTGTGTGTGTGTGTGTGTGTGTGTGTGTGTGTGTGTGTGTGTGTGTGTGTGTGTGTGTCCCAGCGTTGGGATACGAACGCGCCACAGGATAACGCAGCCCAGGTCTAGAGGTTCCCCACCTGGCCCAGCCATTAGGACCTCTGGTTTGTTTATCTAAATGACAGCAAATGCGGCTGCGACCAATCTCTTAGGCTTCCTCCGGCGGCATATACGCTCCTCCTCGTATAACGTTTTTTTTGTCATGATATCATCACAGACCGCACCACGTGGCCCGTAAGGTCACCAGTATGGCAAAATCACTGTTGCCTCTGAGGTTACGTAGGGAAGAGTAAGGGAGGGGTCTGTAGAGGCGACTATGAAAACATGCCTTCACATACATGTAGGGGACCTGCCCTCTTGACGCAAGTGATAGACTAATCTTGTCTACTGTACGTGCTCCTGTGTTGCCTTGTACTGCGAGTTAAAGCAATATATATATTATATATATAACTGCTCACGATTAGCAGCATGATTTACTCAGGACTCTGGTTGCCCGCCTAACTTAGACACTGGTGAAAGCCCTTAACTAGTGAATGAACGGGACTAAGTACGTAGTTAAGGTTGCAGACTTGATCACTACCCGTGCACCTATACACATGATACGCCTCGCGGAGCTCCTCTACGGGTTCTCGATGCCTATAATAGTACTCAACTCTGACTGTCGACGTTTCTACATGCTCTCTGGTGCTACTCGCATAACGAAGCGCTTAATATTGACTAATGCATAAATTAACTTTCTGGACCTCACTGAATGGAAATGGAACACAGAGTACGGTGGTGAAGGACATCAGGAATGGTTGTGGGGCGTCCCCTCCCACACATGTGGTGAGCAGGCGCATGAGGTAAATGGTCAACAAAGGACCCTTATGAAGAATTAGCATTGTCCAGTCGTGAGGCAACAAGAAAGGAGAGAGAGAGAGAGAGAGGGGTGGAAAGAGACAAGAAATAGCAGCACGTTATGCTACATTAGCGTCAAAGAGGCTATATAGAGAGAGAGAGGTATCAGCACGAGTGGCAACAGAGCTAGTCTTAGGAGCAAATACTATTGTCAAAGATACCAAAGATACCTGTGGCAACCTTGAGACTGTGAGCTTCTCTACGTTACTACACATCAAGCTTCGTGTCACTTGTGTCCGCCGCCACCACTCTATAGAGGTTAATAAGTCACATTCTTATGTAGACTCTTAGAGAGGTATGTCGTTATTCCTCATCCTGTTATGATATTTTGTGAGTATTCTGAGAGAGGGGGAATGCTGAGAAGTGTATGGAATGTATAACAGTTTATCGTACGTCTCGCCAACTAGCGTTCGAGCGTCGCCAAAAGTCATAACAATTGAAACAATCAGAGCAGCTTTTCAATTGGCCTTATATAACCTAGTGAACGTACAAGATCGTTTTCTGGGACGTCTTCACTGCTAACCCACTCCTTTTTTGCCACTTGTCCTGGTGTCTAGAAGCACACTAGACGCCACCAAGAACAACAAATATGTAATAAATATTGGTAACACAATCAGATAGGTAACACTGGCCTCCCAGCAGTGCCTAGGAGTCCTAGCGTGAGGGAGGGTAGGGGTGGAGGGGAGGTTGTTGCTGTGTGGCAGTGAAAACTCAGTTCCTGGGGGCAGAAGACCACAGACTCTGAGGCAGACCACAGACTCTGTGGCAGACCACAGACTCTGTGGCAGACCACAGAGCCCGGAAGGTATCAACCAACGACCCGAAGACATTCCCTTATGGCGCTTGACGTAACAAATGCGAGCCATTCGTATAACGATTCCATCGGCAGAATCATTTCAGGCTCCACCATGAGACATCTTTTCCTCCCACGGCCCCTTTTTGGGCCTGAGTTGGAGTCTCTCCTCGAGTCTTCAGTACTCGTTGCAAAAGTCTCTGAAGACATGTGCCTTTTCTTCGATGTCTTTTTTCTATCAACTTGCCGGAGACTTCAACTTGCCATCAATGGTCATCAGCGGCTTACCAGCCCGCCCCGCCCCTGAGAATCGCAGGATTCATCTATTTCATCAAAAAACGTCATCTTTTAGGAAGATATGCTCTTCCGCTTGGCATTCTTATCAACCAAACAGGCAGTCATAAGACAAGTTGGTTGTTGAAAGGCCAGAGGATGGGTGTCGTCTCGTCAAGATCCAGACACTCTTCCTCTTTCGGTACACATCTGCAATGCCTTAAGGTGCAAGCTATTGCTTGCTCCTCTTTGCTCAGAAAATATAATGCAGAACAAGAGCTCACTCTCAAACTTCCGCTCTTGCTGATGCAGAAGTGGTTGTGAGTAGACTTCATGTAACTATTTGAGTGGCAGCTGCTTCTTGGAAGTGACAACTGCTTCTTGGAAGTGACAACTTCCGGCGGAGAATGGCGACTGCAGGTTGTAACAGCTGCTGGTTGTAGCAGCTGGTGGTTGTGAGTAACAGTCACTAGCTGTGAGTAACAGCTGTGGTTTCTAACAGCTGATAGTTGTAACTGCTGCTAGTTGTGAGCACCAGCTGCCGGTTGTGAGTACCACCTGCCGGTTGTGAACGACGACAAGATGAGGCTGGGGTACACTTCCTGGTCCACCGGAACGGGCTCTATGACACTACCTCACGGAATTGCTCTCCTGAAAGACAAAAAATATATAAATCAATAATTTTGAAGGAAATAGCCAGAAAGACATCATATTACACACGACATGAGACCATCACTTCCTCGCCTACCAATCTCCCTGGGCTGGGAAAGGCTTTTTTTGCTGATAATATTGATAAACATAAAGACTTTTTAAGCCTTTGAAAATAAAGACCAGCCCAAGACTTTTAACACTCTCCCGCTACACATAAGGGGCATAACTGACCGGCCCAACACGGTGTTTAAGAGAGAACTCGACAAACACCTCCAAAGATTACCTGATCAACCAGGCTGTGGTTCATACGTTAGGCTATGAGCAGCCGCGTCCAACAGCCTAATTGACCAGACGACCAACCCCAAGGCCGGATCAAAGACCGGGCCGCAGGGCCTTTGATCCCCGGAGCCTCCAAAAGGGTAGCCACAAGGTAGGTAGGTAAAAATGGGTAAAACAGGTTAATAGGTATTTAAAATGACTCCAATTCATTATTAGATGAGCGCTGGTGATCAACGCAGCCCAGCCTTAGCAGCAAGAAAATGCCTGAAGTTAATTCTACAGTGATTGACGTACAAATGTACGATATTCAGTCAATCTGGGTATACATAAATTTTCTGAAGTCGGTGTTTTGTTTCTCATCTTTAAACACTCTCAGTGATTGGTCTAGTGATTCACTGTGTTCATGTAATATTGTGTTGTGATCATATCACTTAATTTTGTGATGATAATAAATGGCATTTACTGTATTTTTAGAACAGTGCCTAAGTGTCATTTATGAAATAGTTGTATGTGACTTGGAGGCTTATATTCAGTTGTGCAGAAATGTGGGTTTTTGATGAAATAATCAGTGAGAAATATTTCGTGTTTGCTTTTGTATATTTAAATACTTTATTATACGTGATACAGGACCTCATTATAACCATTCTCTGTTTGTGTTAACATTATCCGTCCTTGTGAGTAACATACTAACGACGTAAACATCTTATTTTAACAGGTGTAAACATCTGTTAAATAAGAGGTTTTTTGGTATCAAAAAACACACATACACTTAGTGTATGTGTGTGTGTGGAAGATTTAGTGGTGCTGAAGAGGCTTCTTAAACTCTTCATAAACTTCTTAGACGTCTTAGAATTCTTCTAAGACTTAGAAATCTAAGACTTTCTATAGTTTTCAACGAAATATGTTTAAAGAAAAGACTAACTAGGCTAGGAAAGACTAAGAAACGCCAAGCACTAACTCACTTACCTACAATAAAACACTCATAATAGGTCCTCTTCACACTTGGGGATGTCGAAGATTTCCGCGAAGAGTGGCGGCAGCTTGAGTCTGGACCAGTTGGATCGAAACCAATTAAGGTGATCGTGATGCTTGGCTCCGATCTGACGTAGCTCCGGCATCTTCATCACAACGTTGGGGAAGAGGTGCGTCTCACTGGCGTGATTTCGACCCACCTGCGACACATTGTATGATAGACTCAGTTTTGTTTTGTTTCTCGTTGGTGGGTTACATGAGTCAAGAGGAAGGGAGACTGGGGGAGGAGTCTTGGAGAGTCTTTAAGAGGTGCTAAGAAGGGTTTACTTGAATGAGGTTTGGGTGTTATTTGGGTAGGGAGGAATAGGGGGAAGAATGGGGTGGGGGTGGGGGTGGGTTTGGGGGAAGGAAGGAAAGGGGGTGGTGATGGGCAGCTGGGTAAGGTTGAACATTTTGGGTTCATTGGGAACGTGACAACTTGAAGATATTTAAGTCAATGGTGATTTTGCTTTACTTTATTTGACTTTTACACTCACACACATACACATATAAACACACACACACACACACACACACACACACACACACACACACACACACACACACACACACACCACGATGCAAAACAACACACACAGAGACACACACATTGCAAATTAACACATTACAAAACAAATGTGTGCGGTGTTCCAAGCCATCACCCATGAACTCACTTGTACTCTGAGCGCTTCGATAATCTTGTCCTGCTGCTGTTCGATGACCTTCCCGTCAGTGATTCCGGGTCGGTCAGCCGTCAGCAGCACCACCGCAGTGAACAGTGCCAGCTCGGTGTCATTGAGGTTCAGGTTGTTGAACGTCACGGCGAAGTTGAAGACGGTTGACACAAAATCTTGCTGTTGCCGGAGAAAAAGAACGACGAGCCATCAGAAATGAGAGAGATTTCTGTTTTGGTTGGGTGAGTGTGTTGAGCATGTGGAGAAGGATGGGTTGGTGTTGTTGGTGGTGGAGAAGGGGGGTGTGGAGGGACTCAAAAGGGGTTGGATGGACTCAAGGAGTAGAGGGACTCTATCAAAGTTGTCCTAGAGTCATCAAAGTGGACGTTAGGTTGTCTAAGCAACTCTGATCGTCAGGAATGGACGGAGCAGCCATGAAAATGTCCCTAGGGACATTGAAATGGACAGGTGATATATATATATATGCCACGTATTGAAACTTATCCTACATGCTGACACATGTGACATGGGACGTAATGACACACATATGACATACACACGTGATACATACTAACATGTATGCCATATAAACACGTGATACATATAACACATGGAGACATGCTGACAAACGTGTACGGGTGAACCAGCTCTCTGGGTCCACGTGTCTTTAGCCCAAACTGGACGGAGAAGAGGAAATTGATCCTAGGCTAAGCTCGTTTCCCCCTCTCACAGTGACGTCACATTACTTGACCAATGTGATGATCACGTGATGTGGTTGTCACATTGACCGTCACATTCTTTGAACCCTGGTACGAATCTTCTGGTTCAAATTGAATTTGGCCTTCGGACGTGTTCGAATTCTACACTGATATACTGTTTTATGTGGCAGTTCGTCTATTTACAAAATCACTGGATTGACAAACTTAGTTCACAGTTGGCAAGGTCATTGTTAACTGGTGTGTCACGAACGCCAACTTAAACAGCACCTTGACAATTTCAAGTTCAAGTTCATTGAGAGAAAATATTTATGAAAAGGATAGAGTAGCTTAGTCAATTTCTACTTTCATATATCATCATCTCTTAATCCCTTTCCCCCAAGGGCTTTGCAGTGTTCGCTTGTGCATATCGGTACGTTTATTATAAGCTATCTTGAGGTTATCTTGAGATGATTTCGGGGCTTTAGTGTCCCCGGG